GAACAAGAACCAGGAGATGTTTTAGTGTTTTTAACCGGTCAAGTAAGAATATATATTTTTGCTATTCGTGTACCATAAGACAGGAGAAGTTGAGAGAAAGATGCCACAATTATTTGTGCAAGGGAAGATAGTGTCACAAGCGGTTTATGAGTGTATAAATTTTCACACATGTAATTAAATAGTTTGAAATCAATCAGACGAAACAATAAGTTTTCCTACAAACGTACAAAATGTTGGTAATGTTTTATACTTTATGTAGGACGAAGTTGAAAGCGCTGTGTCCATGATCATGTGAGTTGGTTAAAATCATCCAATTTTCGCAATGACAAAGTCAGCTCGAATTTTTAGTTCAGCGAAGTTGAGAAAACTATAATTTATTTCTTTACCAAAAGTGAAAGTCATATTTTTATTGGTTTTGCATAGTAAGTGTAGAATTATGTTGCGACACTGAATTTTGTCAAAATTTTGTGTCATAATGCTTCCATTTCAATAAAGAGAAAGTCCGTGTACTTCAATTGTTCTTTTATTTCAGTGAAAAAGCAAGGACATTACCAAAAGGTCATGGATTTCTGAAAGTGCTGCCTATTTACAGTGGTTTATCTCATGCCGAACAGGTTTTTGATGCTAGAGTCATATGCTAGAACAGGTTTTTGATGAACAGGTTTATCTCATGCTAAACAGGTTTTTGATGCTAGATTCATATTCTAGAACAGGTTTTTGATGCTAGAGTCATATGCTAGAACAGGTTTTTGATGCTAGAGTCATATGCTAGAACAGGTTTTTGATGAACAGTTTTATCTCATGCTGAACAGGGTTTTGATGCTAGAGCCAGCTCTCGTTCAATAAAACTTGTATAGAGAGCTTTGTTAAGCGGTGGAGGGGGATAGCTGACAAAGTTGAGATGTATTACGATGGAAAGGGGGTGGCTTTGAGTGACTGAGTGAAATTCTGTTGCGAGAGGTTCTTTTCTTTTAGAAGATTGTTTTTAATAGTACAGGTTGTGCTAATGATGATCGTCTGTAAAGTGAACTGACTGTGATATTTTTATATTTGTTACAGATGCGTATATTTGAACGTTCAAAACCAAAAGAACGCAAGGTAGGAATTTCTAACAGAAAAATTAAGACTTTGTCGTGATGACAAATCTAAAGATTGTTTTAAAAATAGCATGCATTTGCCATGGTGAATGGTCAATTGTAAAAAAGTTCTTTTTAGAACTATTCACATATCTTTTGTTTGTTTTCATGAACTTCTTCAACGTATTTGCTTTCGTTTTGTTGTGAAACATTCAAGCGATCTTCTTCATTGTTTATCGAGCAAAACATGAAAATAATTTGAAAATCCTTTTAATTGAAGGTTGTTGTTGCAACAAATATCGCCGAGACGTCGTTAACTATCGATGGAATAGTTTACGGTAAAGATTTTTGACTGATGGTTGCCCTCATCTTCTCCATCAATATTTAAAATTTTTTGTTTATAGTTGTCGACTGTGGTTTTGTCAAGATAAAAACATACTCAGTCGATACAGGACTTGGTAATTATATTTATCGGTTAATTGCTTGTAGGCTTCAACAGATATGCGATCACAAATGAAATGTTTTGATCGATATTATTGAATCTGTAGAATCCCTTGTCGTTGTACCAGCATCGCAAGCATCCGCTGACCAGAGGGCCGGTAGAGCGGGGCGCGTGCGATCAGGTATGTAAACAACTTCAATCTTTAAAGAACTATCGATGTTGCCTAGGAAATCTTAAGATAAAAAAATTTTCCTGTCCTGCATTAACCTGTATGGAGAGAGCTGTTTCTTGCCTGTCTTCCAGGTCCTCTACCCCCGGTATTCTACTCTTAACAAAAGGCCCTCTTCCCCCGGTATTCTTCTCTTAACAAAAGGTCCTTTACACACGGTTTTGTACTCTTAACAAAAGGTCCTCTACCCCCCGGTGTTGTACTCTTAACAAAAGGTCATTTACCCGCACAACTTTTCTTGTTTTTATATTTTTTTAATCTTTGACGATTGTATTTCTTACAGGAAAAGCATACAGATTATACACAGGTAACTTCCATCTTTGTTTTCCACAAAATCTATCATTCATCAATTATGAGAAAATCTTTATTTTATTCAGAGGACGCATTTCATAATCTCTCTCCAGCTGGTATTCCTGAGATGCAAAGGTGACTGACCGTCCTTACATTTTGTAAATGTTTATTACGTAAAGGTGATGTTTGTTTTTTCAAGATGTGGATGAAGAATTTAAATGCTTTTTATTTGTTATCAGAACTAATTTAGCTCCAGTGATACTGCAGCTGAAATCCATGGGAATCGACAATGTTTTGAGATTCGATTTTTTAGCGGTAAGAATTATATTTTAACGAAATTTGATCTTCCTACTTTCTGATATAAAAATTCTCTCGCATATTTATAATGTAACATAGGAACACACTTCTCCATGACTGACTACACTATAAAGTAAATGGTTTGAACCCGGGAGTTTCGTTACATGTTTGAAGATGTAGATCGTCCAGGCTAGTAGAGTCCTGAGAAGGACAGTTTTTGTTGTTGTTGACTGACGTTTCAACAACCTTAGCGGTAATCATCCTCTTTCGACTTTGAAGTTGACTACCGCTAAGGTTGTCGAAACGTCAGTCAACAACAATATCAACTGTCCTTCTCAGGACTCTACTAACCTAGACGATCTACATCTACAAACTTGTGACTACACTACAGTGTACACCTCTCTATGACTGACTACTGGGTTAATATGAACAGTATTTGTATTGCTTTTACTTTAGAGGCCTCCAGCCGAGCATATGATAAGAGCACTGGAACTGCTTTATGCTCTAGAAGGTATGAATATGGAAAGACAGAAATGATTATGGAAGCATTGCACTGTGACACAGACTGTTGGGTATTTGTTTAGGGTATATGTGAATAAGAAAGGATTTATGTGAATAAGAAAGGATATATGTGAATAAAAGACCATGACGTGGTATATTTTTATGTTTTTAGCTTTAGACGATGACGGTTGTCTTACAACGCCACTCGGTGTAAACATGGCCGAGTTTCCTCTAGAACCAAATCTGGCAAAAATGCTCTTGGTTTCAGGTAAAAGGATGATGTTTTATGTATTTCTTGGTAGAATTTACTTTGAGTGATGTCGCTCTTGAGTGTATTATCTACCGCTCTTACTAAGATTAAATCTGAGATTATGTTTTGAAATTTTCCAGGCGAGTTTGGTTGCTCTGAAGAAATACTGACAATAGCCGCGATACTTCAAATAAAAAATGTCTTTGTGACACCGTCCAACGAAAAGAGAGCATCGGTATTGCCTGTTTTTAAAACGAGAAGCTTTTTTGTTGAGCAAGTTTTATTGGTTTAAAGTACATTGAAAAATGAACATTGATTTTGGATGCTTTAATTTAGGCACGAGCGAAGCTGAAGTTCTCTGTTTACGAAGGCGATCATTTAACTTTACTAAATGTGTACCAAAGCTTTCTTCAGGTATTTTTGTCCATGACAATGTAAGATGTCACTATAGATTTGGGTATGAACACAATCACGGTTTTTTTGACAGCACAAGAAAAACTCAAAATGGTGTCATGAAAATTTTCTTAACTATAAAGGTGTGTGGAGGCAATAAAGAAGTATGAGTCTTGTTGCTTGGCAACAGTAGTCAGAAGTCACTCAACAGCAAGTAGATGTGAAAGCACTTTCTCGTTTTGTGCAGGCCTCCATTAAACATAAATCTCAATTTCTTTCTTGGTCACTTAATATTTCGTATGGAAATTGGTGCCCGTTGACATCCCTTATGGTAAAGTGGTAAACGCTACTAGGGGTCCCCTCCCTTGGTACATCCGTTACCGAATAACTTTGGTTTTCAAATGTGTTGCTTGAATCTTTCTAAAGGTCTTTGTCACGCTATCAAGATTCGAGAACAACTCAAGCGTCTTATAAAGTCATTTGGTGTGGCCTTGAGGTCTGTTGAAGGTAAACGAGTCTTTAACCAGTGAAATTTTGTGAACTTCTTTTAACTCCAGCATGTTCTTTCTCTGCTTGTACAGACGACCCAACTCCCATTTTACGTTGCATTGTCAAGGGATTTTTTGCTAATGCAGCCAGACTCCACGCCGACGGCACTTACAGGTGACAAAATGACATAAAACATGTTTAGTTAGAATTACTTTCGGATTTAGGATTTAAGATTTGACTCGGTTTTGTTTCAGGAGTATCAGAGAACATGTTTAGTTAGGATTACTTTCGGATTTAGGATTTGACTCGGTTTTGTTTCAGGAGTATCAGAGAACACGTTTAGTTAGGATTACTTTCGGATTTAGGATTTAAGACTTGACTCGGTGTTATTTCAGGAGTATCAGAGAACATGTTTAGTTAGGATTACTTTGGGATTAAGGATTTAAGATTTGACTCGGTTTTGTTTCAGGAGTATCAGAGAAAATCACCCACTTTACATTCATCCAACATCTGTGTTGTATACAGAGAAACCACCTCAATGGTAAAAATATAAGCTTTTAAAAAATATTTTTTCCACCAAAGCCAAAAAAACGCAATGCATTGAATATTCATGGGAGTTTGCTCTTTCTATAATACCACATATGTGCAATGAAATCCACCTTTCCGACGGTAGACACACGTGTCAAAAATACGAGTTCGAATTACAAAATTCGGACAATCAAATGGTCGGACACAGTATTGTTTTTGTAGAATAATATCGATAAAATGGTAAGGAGAGGCTTTTGAATTTTGGGGTTTTTGTGAATATGATTCTAGTTATTCGTTCTGTATTTCTAAAATAAGATTTAAAAATGCCCCAAGAACATCTTCTTTCGTTTTTAGCCACTATTTTACATATACACTATTTTATGTGTATATGTCCGACCATTTGGTTGTCCGACATTTGTAATTTGATTTCGTATTTTTGACACATGTGTCTACCGTCGGAAAGGTGGATTTATACACATCAAAATAGAGTCAGGTGCACGTAAAAAATTTTCTCGATCTTTTCTTTTTTTGTTTTTTTTTCTTTATGTACAGGATCGTATATCACGAGTTGCAACAAACATCGAAGGAATTTATGCGAGATATAACTGTGGTATGATGGAGTTCTAAATTAAATGTTTGTACATGAAGATCGTTGATATTGACTTACGTTTCAACAAGCTCAGCTGTGCGTCTACGGTACGTTTGTTCCTCATTTGACTCTGAAGATGACTACCGCTAAGGTTGTCGAAACGTCAGTCAACATAAACACAAATAGTCTTTCTCATGACTATACTAACCTGGACGATCTACATCTACAAACATGTAACGATACTGCCGGGTTCAAACCATTTACTTTAGAGTTCTAAATTATTCCTCATTGAAAAGCGAGTACGTTAATCGACGATTGTTTATAATCAGCAGTTTTCATAATCAGTAACGTTTTATATCCACCGCATGTTTTCAATTTAACAGACCCCCAGTTGAACGTGGGTGATAGCAAAAATTGAGCGGCGCACCTAGTAAGACCTGGGGACAGGTTTCCTCTGCAAAGCCAAGATATCGTGTCCCATTGGATAGTTACTTTTAATTGTCGGTGACTGCAGTTTCTTTAGGATGAAATAAACTTTGTTATCTTTATTTTTCTTCTGGGAGGAGAGGGTGATCTGGCTCTTTTGTAACCCGACTTAGCTGTGACTTATTCATTATTTTTATTTAATAACAGTTCGTGTTTTCCTTCGGAATAACGTCTCAATTAGGTCATTTAAAAGTTTTCTCAATAAATAGTTTTGCTTGTACGTTCAAACAGCTGTAGATATCTGCTCTTCATTTGTAAAACAATTCCATGAGCGTCGTGCTTGTTTGAAGACTGGGTTTGAGCCATTGAGTAAACATGACAGGATCCTTCGTTTTTTCTTTTCTAGATCCAGTCCTCTTGGCTGTATGAACTTGCTCCTCATTATTATGAATACGGCACTGTAAGCAGCTTTGTGGTCTATAGAAGTGAATGAGCACCAGTTTAATATAAATGATATTTCGTTGTAGGCTCGAGAATTAGCAGCAAAAAGAGCCAAACATGAATAGAGATGACAGTGGTTCTGCTGATGAGGGATACTTATGGATATTTATGGATGAGGTTTGAATTCACAATAAAACATAAGGAGGAGCAGAGGGATGATGATGATTTCTATTGAAGAGTAGAGCATTATTTGAAAAGTACTAATGTCTTTCATCCAAAAACTCTTCTTTATACTACTACTCAATTTGACTGTTAGCCAAACAAGTCCCTATTGCTTGATGTACCATGTCTTTTCCTGAGCTCAACCTGGCCTTTGTTGTCCACATTTCTTCCCAAGAATTGTGCTCACTGAGCTTACGAGAAGAATTTTTTAAATACCTTCTCTGGAACATGAACTGTTGTTTTAAAACTGTCACTTTGAATTAACAATGATCCAGTTTTTCATGGTCCAGAAACATTAACAATGATCCAGTCTTTCATGGTCCAGAAACATTGACACTTCTTTAAGTCTCCCTAAAGTGGATAAATTGTATTTTTATATACTGTCTTACATCATGTGCAGTTCTGGGATGAACTTAGTAAAATGTATGATACGACTATGGGATACAGTGACTTAATCTGTGTCTCTATGTATGTCATAAAATAAATAGTAACAATTGTGAAATCTACATATTTATGCAATAGCAAATGTTTTGGATACTTTGGATTCAATCTATTTTACCACTTATTTGAGTGAGCATGGAATTATCTTTCCATTTTTTTGCCAATGTCTTGAAATACAATTTGTCATCATATCGTATGTTAGTAACTAAATCCTTCGTTTGTTCATATCTATGAATTGAATCATTAAGGAACACAGAAGTTTGCCAACAGTTTTCCTACGTGGAAAATATTGTTTATTATACGATCTTGTCAGAATAAATATACTTTCTGTTGCAATGAATTCAAATGTACAGAGAAGGATTCAAGAATATTGGAATGGGTTCAAAGATACTGGAATGGATTCAAGAACACTGGAATGGATTCAAGGATACACAATTGGATTCAAGGATACACAATTGGATTCAAGGATATACAAATGGATTCAAGAACACTGGAATGGATGGATTCAAGGATACACAAATAGATTCAAGAACACTGGAATGGATTCAAGAATACACAAATGGATTCAAGAACACTGGAATGGATTCAAGAATACACAAATGGATTCAAGAACACTGGAATGGATGGATTCAAGGATACACAAATAGATTCAAGAACACTGGAATGGATTCAAGGATACACAAATAGATTCAAGAACACTGGAATGGATTCAAGAATACACAATTGGATTCAAGGATATACAAATGGATTCAAGAACACTGGAATGGATTCATGAAAATAAGAATGAATTCAAAGGATACAAATTTGAATACCCAGTAGTGATATCAATTATGCATTCAAACAACATTGTCAATGGTGGACTGTTCACATTGCCTTTACAGAAATCATCTAAATCAAACTTGTCTAAAGAGAAGGAAATAAAAATTGTCTCACTTCACTAACAGTGTAGGAAAAGTAGATAATTAAAGTGTGGACCTTTGACAAGCTATAAAATGGTGGAAGAAGGGGCTTGTCAAAGGTGACTACTTCATCCCAAAGGTTCTATACCAGTTATTCACCTCACCTGAGCTATATGTAACTATCTCCAACAACGTAGCTTGAGCAGTTTGTAAACCATCTTGTAGTCCTTCAAATGTTTTCCTGACAAGTAAAATAAGCACATATTTACTTCCTTGAGTCCAATGTGTTTGAAAGCTCCCGGTGGTGAATTTAACAATTTTTTTAATAGTCAATGACTCAATGTAATACTTACATCACATTATTGAGTTTCTTCATTTTGTCGTTCAAGCATTTAGTTATTTTATAGATAACACGTTTTTTCACGTCGGGAAAATCGTTCATGAATTCGGACGGAAATTCCGCCTCTTCACAACACGTTAGTTGTTCATGAAGATTCAAGAAGGATTCTAGTATTTCATTTGAAGATTTTTTCGTCATTTCCCATTCTTGCACTGTCTTTTCCACTAATTTTAAGGTATCTTTCACAAACTTTTCGACGGTAGCCATGTTATCGTATTTCGCTGCCATTGTGTTGATTAGACTTTAGGACAAGGATAAACGGGAAAAGCTAAAAAATGCAAAGGATTTATCCACTTTCTATGGTTGATTGAGATTCGAGAAAAAACTGAGTTTAAATTTTGAATATTGAAACTCCAATTCTGATTTCAGTTGCCACCATTGCAGTTGTTTATTTTTAATAAATTTTCACTATCGATCGAGCCGCCCGGTTAGCTCAGTTGGTAGAGCATCAGACTTTTAATCTGAGGGCCAGGGGTTCGAGTCCCCTATCGGGCTGTCTCAAATATTTTCATTTTTCTTATAATACCATTTACTAAACATTTTTTTGATAAGTTTACTTCGAAGTTAGTTTTTAGCCAAGAAAAATATCTTAGTGCTCAATAATTTCATTTATTTCTTGCTTTTAGGTCGAAATTGGAAAAGTGATTGGAACAGCCATGTGACGAACGTACTGGTTCAGAAGCTTCGGAACGCTTACCCGCATGCCTCCTATCTGATTGGCTAATATGACGCTAACAACATGACGTCACAGTACAACTCTTAGTAAATAAACACAAAGGACAGCCGTGATCAAGACTTGCGAAAAACGTGCTGTAAAATTAACAATTTTGGTTTCATTTGAACCGGTTTTTGTCGCTTTTTCGAGCGCTTGTAGTCAAAAATGGTTTTAGAAATGCTTGGGATATTGTAAAACAAGAGATAGGACAAGAGAGATCGTTTTTTTTCTTGTTTCAAATGGGCACTAAATTGTCAAGTCCAAGTCACAATAGACGAAATCACCCGAATTCCGTAACAGGGAACGAAGTCCAGAACGGAGGAGGAACGAATATTTCTAGACGGGGTAGAACTCGTTCTATGGAAGTAGGAAACAGAGCACCAACATCGATTCCCATACGGCAAATGCGATCGCTTGACATATCTGATGACAACGAAACAAACGACAGCTTAAATACGTATTCCATGCTTCATACTAGATCCCTACCTGGGCAACTTTTTGGCCTACACGGTAAGATCTGCGTTTTATTTCTTAGATATTATCGCCATCTCATTTATTGAATGCAATAACAATCCATTGTATACGCGGAAATATTGCGGTCGTTTTTTTTAATGAGCGAAATGACCCGAAAATGACGAAATATTATTGCATTTTCATTGCGAAGAAGAAAGCGAAGATACAAAGCTTTTACTAATTAACTTGTTTGATCTTGCAATTTTATGGAATTTTGTATTTTCCTGTTGAATTTTAGGTATAAAATGCCCAGTTTGTTCAAAATTCGTGCCGTCAGAAGAGGTTGAAATACATTTGGTGATGTGTCTGACGAAACCGCAGCTTTCTTATAACGGTAAATTTCTTCCGTTTTTTCCCTTTTGATTTATTATGATCGTATCTCTCGGAATTATTTTGCTTTCTGAAAAGGCGTATTGTTGACACAAAGGATATCGTTAACATATGCCCCCGTGTGATTTGGTTATTATATGTTTTGACATGCGATAAATTTTTGTTTTAATTGCTTCTGTCAAGAAGAGATATCGACCTTTGAAACACAAGCGATTCGATATCGGCTAAAGTTTAGCAGAAAGCTTGAAATCGAACTTTAAAATAGTCATTTTTCAAACTAACGGAAGACGGAAGACCTCGAACGACTTCTGGGCCAAATTATTTGCTCAAAATAAGAATCGTCTGTTTACAATCGGAGGATTAGTGAACTTCTTAAGTTGAGTTCTCTCATTTAAAGGGGGATAGGTTAAAGAGCAACTTCATTTCGATGATATTTTAAAAATATTTATATCACTACCCGCTTTGATTCATATGAATATGATAGTATTGACAATAAGGTCAAACGCAAACATTCTAAGCGTAGTGTTTAAATATGCTTAAGGTATCATGGTATTTTTAAAAACAAGCAAACAAATAGATGAGCGACGCTTTTATTAGGGCTCGATTTCAATGGAGTATTGTCTTTGAGCATTTCATTACTATTGGAGCTATTTCTTCATGTATTTTTACATGTATTCTGTCAATTTTTAGTTGATGTTTTAACCCAAGACTCCGGTGAATGTGTTATATGTTTAGAAGAATTACTTACTGGTAAATACAGCTGAAATCTTTTAAAAAAAAATGCAATGTAAATGAAGACTATTGACAAGGATACGGGAATTCTTTGAAACATGATTGTGAAATCTTGCTAATTGTGCTAGACATGCAATAAAGTGAACATAGGGTATTTTCAACTTTGATATAAATATAATATAGGTTATTAGAAAAGACATATGACTGTTTGAAATGCTTAGACTCCTTATTTAAGGAAACTAACATTAAGAAAAGCAATGAGGAAGCCAGCACAAACTTTTGTTCCTGCAATGCAAATTCTTCATGAAAATTATTTTTAGTGTCTTTAGAAAATTAATTCCATTCATTGCTTTTCCAATGGATGAACACAAAAATTTTTGCATTGTAGGAACAAAAAATGGGCTGGCTTCACTATTGTATTGCAAAATAAACCATAAATAGGAGTCAGCACTGAGGTCAATTACCTTATATAAATTCTGAGACTTAAAATGTTAATTTCTGTTCACTTACATTGCTTTTGTTTGCCCTATCTTGACAAACAATTATTACTCAATCTTGTTGTGCAATATACATTATTGAATGCATGCCCGTGAAGGGGTATTGTAATTGTCAATTTGATGACCATTCTCGAATGTTAATTGTGCCCTCAATGATTATTGTTTCAGGTGACAAAATTGCCAGGTTACCCTGTCTTTGTATATACCATAAAAGGTAAGCTGATGACTTTTGAACTTTATAGGATTTTTTTAAACATGTCACATTGAGATCAGGCTTTGTTTTCATCATTTTTCTCACATGCCTCTACATTATCACGAGCGGCAAAGATGACTTTCATGAAATAACACATAGTTGAACAAAGACAAAGGTCGCAAGCAAACTTTTAAGTGTCTCTCTTTGATAAAATGCCCAAAATTTTGGTCGGCAATGTTTTCCCACCTTCCTTTATCGGTCAATAGACAAAATTTTTGAACATATTTTACTGAAGCTATGGTTGTCACATTCCCCATCCCTATAACATGTGCTTCTGATTAAAATATTAGAAGTATTTGTAAAGTCCAATGACAATTGGTACTTAACAACTCACTTAATGTTCACACTAAACTATATTACCCTTGCACAGGATGACAGTTTACATTTTCTGATAAAAATCAGAATAGTGTTTTTTACCAGTAAAAGGATTTCTTCGATGCAATGGCTTGGCGATTCCTGATGCTTGAATTAAAAATGTCACTCTAATGGCCTTTCGGTTAGTACAGTTTTGCCCATGTACTTCTCACCCTGTAATAATAATATCTATTCACAGTAGCAAAGCTAGGCAATTTTTACTCCTACAATGCGAATATTTTTACGCTCATTCACCAGAAAATCAACGGATTTAATTTATTTTCAAAACAAATAAAGACTAGTTCAGTTGAAAATATATGCATAGCACGACTAATCAGTGTTATATGTGGTTTGCATGTTACGTCACGGCCGCCATGTTGGTTGAATTTGAGAAAAAGTTCACATGTACATAGTTAAAATTTCAACCAACATGGCGAATGGTTTGCATTTTACGTCACGGCCGCCATGCTGGTTGAATTTGAGAAAGAAGTTTTCATGTCCATAGTTAAAATTTCAACCAACATGGCGAATGGTTTGCATGTTACGTCACGGCCGCCATGTTGATTGAATTTGAGAAAGAAGTTTTCATGTACATAGTTAAAATTTCAACCAACATGGCGAATGGTTTGCATGTTACGTCACAGCCGCCATGCTGGTTGAATTTGAGAAAGAAGTTTTCATGTCCATAGTTAAAATTTCAACCAACATGGCGAATGGTTTGCATGTTATGTCACGGCCGCCATGCTGGTTGAATTTGAGAAAGAATTTTCATGTCCATAGTTAAAATTTCAACCAACATGGCGAATGGTTTGCATGTTACGTCACGGCCGCCATGTTGATTGAATTTGAGAAAGAAGTTTTCATGTACATAGTTAAAATTTCAACCAACATGGCGAATGGTATGCATGTTACGTCACGGCCGCCATGCTGGTTGAATTTGAGAAAGAAGTTTTCATGTCCATAGTTAAAATTTCAACCAACATGGCGAATGGTTTGCATGTTATGTCACGGCCGCCATGCTGGTTGAATTTGAGAAAGAAGTTTTCATGTCCATAGTTAAAATTTCAACCAACATGGCGAATGGTTTGCATGTTACGTCACGGCCGCCATGTTGATTGAATTTGAGAAAAAGTTCACATGTATATAGTTCAAATTTCAACCAACATGGCGAATATCTCTTTGTATTTTAACTCATCGAGGAATGTTTGCAAGCCACGTTCATCTATGGCTTAAGAAGCAAAAGTCCTTTCGCTTTCAATTTCATGTTGCAATAAAGCGACTTCATGATATTTTTATAGTTGTATCGACAGTTGGTTTCAAAAGAATCGTTCCTGTCCCGAACATCCTTCGTAAAAGGTAGTCATATTTATACGAATCGAATCACATTTGACTGTGAATGTCTTTAGTCAAAAAAGTGATACTGATGTTCGAATTAATTTGTACATATTTTGTAAATAAAGAAACGTGGTTGTTGATGTCATTTTGAGAGATGTTAACTACTGTTAATACCACAACGAATGAGAATATAGTCTTTGCACTTGTATTTGTATTGGAATGACATGTATTTTTGTAGGTAGGACATAAATGAGCAGAGAATTAGAACTTTCTTTCCTAAGTAAAATAGAAAATAAGACAACATGCGTCAGTGTAGGTAGTGATGAATGAACAAAAGAGAACAACAACTGTCTTTAAACCACTTAAAATATACACTAAGATAGCGTTTGTCAGTTTGGGTGGTGGTAAATGAACAACAGAGAATGAGAAAAGTCTTTACACTATCTAAGGGACTAGTGTAGAGACTAGAAAAGTCTCTACACTATCTAATGTATAAGAAAAAATAAGATAACGTGTGTCAGTGTAGTTAGTGATGAATGAACAACAGAGAACGAGAACTCAATCATAGAAAGTCACAGTTATTCAGTTCACTTTGCATTTTTTTTCTACATGTGAAACAAAAGCCATTACATCTATCCTATAAACTATCACCTCGTACACCATAACATCGTGTCCAGATCCTGCAGAAATCTGCTTTAAGATCTTGACAGTCATAACTGAATTTACGATGGTAAAAATATAGTATTACTAATCGTCAGAATTATCTCAAAAAACGAGTTCGTCCAGCAAACTCTACTGCTTCTAAAATTTCCTCTCACTAAAACAGAGAGATACTATATTAATGGCTTAACTATATATATATATATATATATATACGTAATGACATTCTTCCTATATCTTATCCTATATCCATAAAGTTCCCGAAACAATTTTTTCTTTCCATAAAGTTTCCCATACATCATCTGTTTATCTTCTACCAACTCCATGTGCGTTTTCTTGCGTTATTTCTGTATTCGCTCAACCATCGTCGCACTTCCTCTAGGTTGTAGTGATCGGGTCCCAATCCCCCAGCGTACGCGATCTTGTTTTCTTCGATGACGTAAAGTCTTTCCGGAAGTGCTCCGTAAGCAATGTTCATTGTGTTTGCCATCGTGTCTACGTAGACTGGGCACGGGGGGTTTCGTGCCAAAACGTGTTTTGCCGCCGTTAGTCGGTCGGTAATCGTTTTGTGCTGACGTATGTCGAAGTTGTTCTGAAAATAAGTTGGTCAATTCAATAAATGTCAGTTGAGATGTTAGTTTGTTGAAAATTCTGCTTTCTACTGTTTTTAATTTTTTTATTTCTAATTCGACGCTTATGCAGTTACCAGAATTTTAAAAATCTCAAGTTTAGAAATAAAGTCTACTATTTTAGCGCGTTAAGCTAAGTATTTTTTGTTTGTAGATATTGTTGGTATTTTAGTCTGTGTTTACAAACAACCCATTACTTTAATCTGATAATATGTGTTTGGCTTTGTTGAATTTTTTTTAAATTGTAATTAGCTTCAATGGGCTCTTTTAATCAGATAACAGGATTACTATCGAGATAAACCGTTCATCTTATAATATAAATTAGCTTTGAGAGATTCGTTTAATCTGTTAATAGGATTAGTTTGGATGCATTCCTTTAATCTGTGATTATGATTAGCTTCTAAAAGGAATATAATTGCTTTTGACGCTAAGAAGTATGAGTTTATCTCTGAAGCTCACCTGGCTGGCATGCATTTTCAGGGTCGACAAGAATAAACTTATCAAACTTTTTTGTAAGGGGCTGTTCACATGAGCCCGGCAACTGGGATTCAGCAAAGCGTTAAATCATTTTGGCAAATGGAAAAGATTAAATACTTCACAACAAAAAAAAAAAGCTGAGCAATTTCTCTATGCTCTGACTTTGCAAATTCACAAAACCTTTAAAGTGAGAGGAAATAATTAAGCCCGAGTTGAAAATTACGACTAAAATGACATATGACGCTTGTAAGAAAAGGTTGTAAGTTTTGCGCATAAAGTTTTTACTTCTTTCAATGACTCAAAATCATTTCTCGCCCCGCTGAATCCCGGTTACCGGGCTCATGTGAACAGCCCCTAAGATATATTAAAAATGAATGAATGAATAATTTTATTTCAACACGCTAACTATTGTCAACAAGTGAGTTGTTTTCCACATGGGGCATGCGCAAATTTTACAGAAATGAATTTAACAAGAATACTAAATTAAAAAAAGCGATTTCCTCTTCGCCCCACAGCGTACTGTTCGGGCGTAATACTCTCTCGAGGACTGAATATTGCATCCCACAGCATATTCCATGCATGTGTTCTCTAATAAACGCTATAACTTTACAGAAAATATCATTGAGGACGATTACCTTGAAAGCCCAACCGTCTGCAGCATGAGCCTCAGATATGTATATGATAGCAAAGTCGGCCACATCGTTGAAATCCCGTACGATTTCATTAAATTTTGCCAACTTTGCCATAAATGGCGGTCAGCTTGAGCTACCAAAGTTCAAGACCAGCGGCCGTCCTATCCTGACAAGATCGACTAACTGCAAGCATTTACCGTCTGTTGTGATCAAATTCGAATCCACAACATTTGTACCTTCGGCAACCTTCTTTCGCAAATCCATCACCTTCATTTTCCAACATTCTTTGAACATTTGCCATCCGAACAACGACTCCCAATAGTTGTCTTTGACCATTTTCAACCGCGCTTTTTTTGTGATTGTTTCCTCGACAACCTCGTGAAACAAAGGGACCGTATGTAAGAAACGGCACAGCAGGAACTCGAAGACCAAGCCGATGGTGGCGACGAAGCATCGAAACGTCGTCCATGCCGTATTAGTCTGTATCATTTCTATAGATTTCATGTTTTTGATGGAACCCCTGTTGCTTTATGTGCGTGCACATCGGCGTCTTGTGCTAATGGCGATTAAAAACCGCGATGCCATCTTATTATATAGTGACATCCATTTCCGTGGGTCGTAAAAACGTGGAAACAATAGACGGAGTATCGGACCGAAATTTGTATATGGCGCTTCCACATTTAATTCATGAGACAAATACGATCCATTAAATGTTCCGAGTAGAAATGCTTCGTGTTTCTGAAATGCCTCGTTCTCCTTCCTTTGGACTTTCAATTTGTTTTGGAAAAGGTATAACAGATTTCTCTCTGTTATAAATGCACTCCCTCCAGAGCTAGCGGACGAATAAGTTGCTGCTAATTGGTCTTGTTCGGGAAATATGAAAACAAGTTACGCGGAACTGCATTTACTGAACAAAATATTTTAGTGTAATGATTGTAATGTCGATGACAAGAGCATCGTAGCGGTATTTTGATGGAAAATCATAATTTTTGTTTCGTGACGGAGTGCTGCTCCAATTCAGTTTTAAAATCTGCAGCCTCAAGCTTCATTCATGTCATTACGTAGGGCTTGATGGACTGCTAATGATGTGAAGACAAATTCATTGTTCATTCCGTTTTCTTCTGACATGAAAAAATAATCTTCGGTTTCCGGCGATTTCGAAGTACTTGAAAGGCGTGAAATTGCCAGAGAAAGAATTGCTACAAATTTCAAGTGGTATTTTGTTCTTGACAATTGATTCTACCCAGGTTTTGGCAGCGAGTTTTGTTTCGTGTTAGTTGTTGTCGTTAACGACACCATTGTCTTCGTTTACAGGACGTCATCCGTCACAACTGCTGATGGCATGCTTCTCGCAACGAGATTTCGAAATTTTTTTGCTTTGTCATGAAAGAAAATTCTTTCATTTCAGTACTTGATCTTTTTAGTCGATTTGCTACGAAAAATTTTTTTACAAGACGAACGTGAGAACGAATCAATAATTGCTAAATGATATTGTAGCCTTCTTGATTAGGTAATGTACTCATCGCTTGCGTTAATAGAAAATTTCTAATCATGTATGATTGCTGTATGCACTTACGTGCAATGGCGAAATCGCTTGGATTGTGTTTGAGCGTGATTAGGTCAGTCGAAGCAAGTCCATAAGTCAATTAGTTTTCGTTCATAAACTGTCTTACTGCTTTTCTTCTTATACCAAACTTTAGAAATATTTTAACTATGTCTAAAAAATAAAAATGATTTTTGTCGAAACTACGGTTTCCTTTGCTACGCAAATCAAAAATCCTTTTCAATTTTCACTTCCTCCATAGCAAAAACTGTACAAGAATTTCCCCTTTTTATTCTACATAAGAATCTCGATAAACTCGCTGTCGCTATAGCGAAACCGTTTTCTTTCAATATTTGTAGTCGAGTGGTTCAATTAGATTACTTAGACAATGCAGGTTTTGCATAAGTTTGTGACTGTGTGTGTGTATTGACTTGAAGACAAGTAATTGCTAAAGACTCTTTATTTCGTGTCGTGTGAGAAAATTCAGCCCTAATTTCGTTTGCCTATTTTTGGCATCAATGTCTCTGTTGCGATGGAAACCTCAAACACCCAACTCGTAAAATTTATGAAGAAACCGTTCGTCGTTAACCGCGGCTTTTACATTTAATCACAAAAAATTTTTGGCGATTTTTTAAACATCGGAAATACTTGGCATACATTCGTTATAGTAGACACAGTTCAGGGTTGTGGCATGTTCGTATGGCAACGCTAATCCTACAAGGGTCGTTAAATGTTGATGATTTTTGTGTCATAACCATTTCTCATTCTATATGTTTCAGTCATGGGTGGTGATGAGCGAGAATAGTCTTTACACTACCTAAAATATAAACTAAGATAACGTGTATCAGTGTAGATAGTGATGAATGAACAACAAAGAACAAGAACAGTCTTTACACTACCTAAAATATAAACTAAGATAACGTGTATCAGTGTAGGTAGTGATGATTGAACAACAGAGAACGAGAACAGTCTTTACACTAGCTAAAATATGGACTAAGATAACGTGTATCAGTGTATGTAGAGATGAATGAACAATGGAGAACGAGAACAGTCTTTACACTATCTAAAATATAAACTGAGATAACGTTTGTCAGTGTAGGTAGTGATGCATAACTTACTGTGAAACATTCATAGTGCAATGTACACTAATGATTTATTTGAACTCGTGCTAACGTAGGCACACGTAGGTGTTGACATGAAACGAAAACACAATAGCACTTAGATTTAGGTATTTCAACTTTAAGCCTTGATATTGCGTGAAAAAATGCAAACACTCCAAAGATGGAATGAATAGATGGAGCTCCTTGAAGTCAATGCCATTCATTTCGTGTTCCAAGTTATGTAGCTATGTGGGAAGGTTTTGCTTTCTCGCCCAAAGTGAAATATATTTTTGTGCTCAAATGGGACTTTTTCTATGCTAAACATATGACTCCTAGTGTGGGAGGGTTCACGGCATCTTGCTAAGTTTTTAATGTAGAGTGCGAAAGAATATATTGTTCATATCATGTACGCATTTTGAAAACCATTGAAACTTGTCGAGCTGGCAAAATATACTGCTTCTGGTTTCGCATTGATGTTCTTGAGAACTAAGCATGTTAATGGCGAAGTGTGAAAATATTTTGAAATGGAATTTGCCCTTGCGAAGTGCGGTTTAAGGATTTCTGGAGAACAAACGCATTTCAAAGAGTTGTTGAAAGAAACTGTTTTGACGAGAAAAGAGTAAAGGCAATATGTTTTTGACTCACGGATGAAAACAGGCGATATCTTTGCCTCTAATATTAAGTATATCAATTAGCAATATTTGCATTCAAACATTTTAGCGAGTAAGCTAAAATCTTTGAAACTTCTCGGAATGTTTTTCATCTCATCCGCGAGTATTCTCAATGTCGTTTGATACTTTGATTTTAAAGTGTTTATGACTTGAAATTTTATCGCGAATTGGTTTGATTGTAATGAAAAGAACAAATGAATTGTCTTAATTTAAAACTTCATCAATAGACTTAACTTTTTTTACTTTTTTTTAGAGATATTTCACTTTATTAATTACGCAAGTAACATCGTTATGACATCTCTGAAACCAGTAGCAATTTAAAAATCATCAATTTTCCACAAGTTTCTCGTGTGTAGTTGAATTAATAAGTACAAAAGTTATGCATTTTAATACTAACTGTCGACAAAACCTAATTTCTCCTAATGCTGTTTATACAATGTGATTTCGTATAACGATGTTATTTGCACATTAAAGAGAAGTTGCGTATCTCCAAAAAGAAATAAACGTACAATTCTATCTAAGAAGTTATTGAGTTATTTTGATAGCCTTTGCAAAGCAAAGCAAATATTTTGAAGGAGTTTCTCTGTATCAATGTGAAGTTAAAAATTTTGTGAAGTTTATGTCTCAAGTCAAACATTTATTCTTGATGGGAATTCGCATTCCAGTTATGACTTAGTTACAGTGATGTTAGAGACTTCTTCGCAGTTCTCCCCAGGCTGTTTCAGGCCAATTTCTTCCGCGCCGTCTGTAAAATAAAATGGAATAAATTTGTCAATAATGATTTAAAGATAAAAGCGGATAAAAGCGACCTCGTTTGTAAACAATGGCTACCTTTCTTTTCGAAAATAATCGTTAAGAGGTTATACTGTGAGTACTTTTGAATATATGTAAGTACTCGTTGGTACTAAAACATACCCAGGTTATTGTTGTAAAGCTCTAACGTCGGGACACCCTTCGTGTCTGGTAGAACTAAGCACAGCAACGCAGCAACGATCGCGAAAAATCCCATCATTCCAAACGCCAAAGTCGGATGGATTCGTTTAAGTTCGACTACAAACGGTGCAGTCACCGCTCCGAAACGACTCGAGACGCCAACGAAGGCCATGCCGCTATTTCTAATGAAATCACATGACTTATAAAGCGTGTTCATGTATGTAGCGGCTTTATTAGCTTTTAAAAACTAATAACAAATTTTTTCAATTGATATATCAACCAGGCGAAAGCCTCAAGGCTGATTTCCATTGAGTGCAAATTGTCGCGCGATCGACTTTTTGCGATGCAGCAGTATGAAACTGTTGTGGTTGAGAGCTTACAATTGAAAAGAAAGTGATCTTAAAAAGTTGATCGCACGACAATTTGCACTCAATGGAAATCAGCCTTTCATAATATAAGTAGATGAAGTGTTTCGTGATTTCCCTCTCCCCCCCCCCCTCCCCGTAAATTTACCTAGCTGGACTAAAATTTGGGACTTGGCTACTTATTGTTGATCACGTGACACTACCTTGCTACCGTCGGAAATATTTCACCGGACCAAACGTAAAGACTGTTGAAGGAGATAGTGATAAAACCTTTTCCCAACATTCCACCGATTACTCGACCAACAATAAAATCTGAAAGAGAAAGGCAAAAATTTGCAGTTAAACTTGTTTTGGACGCGAGCACGTGAGGATGTATTATAAACAATGATATAAGCAATGAATGTTGCTACCAACACGTTTACCCATGACGTGACATCATTGCTTGGTACCATGATAGCTAGGTACCATGATTGCTTGGTACCGTCATTGCTTGGTACCAACATTGCTTGGTGCAATGATTACTTGATACCATGATTGCTTGGTACCATGATTGCATTGCTTGGTACCATGATAGCTAGGTACTATGATTGCTTGGTACCGTCATTGCTTGGTACCAACATTGCTTGGTGCAATGATTACTTGGTACCATGATTGCTTGGTACCATGATTACATTGCTTGGTACCATGATTGCATTACTTGGTACCATGATAGCTAGGTACCATAATTGCTTGGTACCTTCATTGCTTGGTACCTTCATTGCTTGGTACCACCATTGCTTGGGACCATCATTGTTTCGTAACACCTTTTCAATGACAGTGATTAATAATTATGGTTTGAAAACTTTACCCGACTTATAACCGTGAAATTCGGTCCGAGTGACTTAGATTGACGAGATGTGTACCTCTCACAAAATACTGGCCACCGAAATAGCGGCTGTTCTATTATGACGTCAATCTCATGCATGATAGTGACGTCATTTGCAGGAAAATGTTCTCACTTCTCATTTACATGAGATATGACCTGTTTGCGCAACTCAAATAAAACGGCTCGTACCAGTTCTCTCTGTTCCTCCGGGAATCAAAGAGACGATGAAACACGCGATGCCACCAAAAATCATGTTTAATATCACAGCTTTCTTACGTCCAAATCTTTATAAGAAAATATGTTGAACGTTTTGATGACGCGATGTTATTTCATGTAGAATTTAACATAACAACAATGTATGCATCATAATACTGCAAAGGAGATAAAGGTGCAGAGCAAGTGTTGCAACATGGGAAGGAATGCATTATGAGAATGGATACGGTACAATGATTTAGAACCCAGGGTCCGGTTGCGCGAACCCTGGATAGCGTTATCCATTGGATAGTAAATTTTTCTCAACGTTCATAAAATCTCTTGTAAGAGAAAAATATACGATTCGAGCAATCAGTTAAATAAAATATTGTTTCGAAGATTACAAAATTCCCTTGTCGTGAGAAAAATATAAACAACTTTTTTACAAGTTTGAAAATTTTTGCTATCCAATGGATAACGCTATCCAGGCTTCCTGCAACCGTCACCAGTCTTCTAGATGGTAAACAACCATGTCAAGGTGAGGCAAGGACGCCATCTTGAAAGGTGGCAAAAAGCAAAACTCAAAATGAAATATTTTAAAAAATCCATCCTGTCAAACATTTTAAGAATCAAACTTAGACTATAAAATTTGCGACTCTAAATCATCCATGGAAAAGCAGATATTAGTCGTAAATACCGTCAGTTTTGCCACCTTTCAAGATGGCGGCTTTGCCTCACTCATTACTATACAATATAGGCGGTGTCAGATATCTAGTGGATTTGGTTCTAGATGTTTGATACGACATGGAAAACGATGCAACCTGGGAAGGGGCATCCTAGAGTTAACTATAAATCAATTGTTACGAAATAATTGTGACGTTCATTGTACCTTTCGCACATGTAAACGACCAGAACGTTGGCAGGAATTTCAATTAAACTCGTGAGAGTGTAGTTTAGATACATGCTCCCACCAAGATCACTTGCTCCGTACGAAGCACCGTAGTAAACCATACCGTTGATGAACCTACGAAAAATTAAGCAGAAATAAAGAAATGGTCTCAACGTCACGCGAGGAATCACAAAGAGCAATCAAGTTGTCATGATAGAGAACCACTTTTTAAACCCTTACATAAGGTTGCATTTGTTAAAATAGAATTTTGTGTTGATCCAGGAATTCTGGGAATGTTTATTCTACAATGTATAGTTCATCGGGAGCTGTGCCCTCTGGCTGTGCCAGATAAAGAGTATATCATCCGTTTTAAAATATTTTCAAAGCGAATGCAATTGGTAACATTTTAGTCCATAAATATTCTCTAGAAATTTCAAGCCGTCATAAGATAATCTGACTTACTCTAGATTCACCAGAGTTTAAAATTAAAACAAAGACGTTTTTTGACAATAAATATACAACATCGAACTTAAAATGACTTTATAGTGCAAACATTCATTGGCCTCAATCCTTTCTTTATTTGGTGGTGGGGCATATTCATATATTCTGCTATGCCTGGCTAATTTCTTTTAAAAACAATTTCACTTTCAAAAGAAATTCGATAAGCATTACAGAATATATGAATATCCCCTCATTAGCGCAGGATTGACGCCCATGCAAACATTAACGCACAAAACTATGCTCTTAAGACCCAAATACAGATTGCCATATGTTTGTTATTTTATATTTTCAATAAATAACGACGCTAGTTGAGTTCGTTTTCATTGTACTGTAAGAAACGTATTTATTTAGCAGACAACACTTGTTTGAAATAACCTTGTTTTTTTAACTGTGGCATACTCTCGTTTGCTTGAGAATGGCACTCAATGAATCAATAAACCATTGCCTTGTATCCTTTATGTATTATTTGCTACCCCTAACGGTCGTCACTTACCACGCAAAGGCTTGAATAAGAACGCTGACTGTAAGAGAGCAGGTTGAAAATAACGACAGACAGCTCAAGCGTTTGTCGGAACTCGCCGGAACAGCCAAACTGCATTCTGGGTATTCGCGCTTATTTTCCCGCGCGATGTCACGCAACTCCTCCTCGGCTTTATCGACCTTACCATGCGTCATGTACCAACGAATCGACTCAGGAGTGAATCTAAATATGAATTGTGCTACTTAGAGTCATGTGACGTTACGTTCCAGGTCTGTGATTACCTTTGAGAGTCATGTGATATTACGTACAAGCTCATTGATTCCTACAGAGTTGTGACATTACGCACAAATTCTATTGTTACCAAGAGTCATGTGACACTACGTACAAGCTCTATGGTTCATAGAGAGTCACGTGACATGAAGTGCAACTGTGCAAGCTCTATGATTTTCCAGTTGCATAGCCCACTCAAAAGTGCCAGTGTTCCTTTGTAAATTTCTGAGTATTATCATTATTTATTTCTCTATAAATATATTATTTTTACCGTGAGTGAATACTGAAAAATCGCATAGCAACTGGATTAATCTGAGCTGGCTACGTCATTGTACTGAACTGTAATTACGTAAAGTCTAATACATCTGTAAGTAACTTACTTCCAAAATACTAAAACAAAAATCCATGGGGCTGTACACAGGATCATTAACGTACGCCAGTTTCTCACAAAGTACGCCATCAATGCAAGCACCAATAGCACGATAGAAAAAGCGAACCACATGATCGTCTGAGAAAGCGGTCGATAACGAGGACTCACGAATTCTCCCGATAGAATAAACACGGGGAGAAAGATACCGTACAACACTGCACCGACGGCAAATCGTGATGCGAGAAACTGCCAAAATTTGGTGGAGAATGCTGAAGCAAAACCAACAACCACCACTACAAGTACACAAGGATACAACGACAAAAGACGACCGTAGCGGTCAGAGAGGATACCCAGGGGAATGGTAACGACAGCTTTGCCAATATACACCATCGACTTTGCCAACCAACCATAAGGTGCCATGTCACACACTAGGTCGAACTATAAAAGACACGTATTTTTTTTGTTACTCTGCATCAACTCTCAAAAATATATCAGTGAACAAATCAGCAGTATCAGTCAGTATTTTATTGATGAAGTACCAATATCTATATTTATCCTTATTTACCTCGCTAATAATTGTTTCTTTCGGTCCTTCATAATCGGCATACTCCCATTCGCTCCTGTTTATCCCACACCGGAAGTTGTAATGCTTATCTCCTGCGACGAAACTTCCGTTAAGTTTACAAACAGTGCTGTTGTCGACGCATTTCCAAGGTCCTTCAGCTCCGATGAAGAACATGTTTAGAAGATGAAAGGTTGGCGGGAACATTATGAAGAAGAACATCGCAAGACGAGTGATTTGGAAACGACCCATCTCTCCGATTTGCGTCAAAATTTGATCCACAGTTCTACCCATGTCTGTTGAAAAATTAAGCCCGCAAACACAAGTCAGTGGCGAAAGTTTGTTAGACTCGTTTATACTTAATGTAACTGGATGGCTACCTCCCGCCAAAATTTGAAGCGAGCTATTCAACTCGTCCCAATCCTTCTTCGCTCGGGTCAGGGAAAGGTAACTAAAACAGAAAGCTGAAATGCGGGACTTCGCGGCTCTGTACGTAAAATTTGGTTTCATTTAAGGTAAGACCAGTTCAGTCATGTTTATCTTAAACTAGCCATCCAGTTACATATTCAGTTCAAAGGTTTAACTCCACCAGTGCAGTGAACTCTATGAAATACCAAGTGAACTCTACAATAACTAGAAGGCTAAATTGGCCGCCATCTTTGAAGCCTCCATGATCACCGCCATTAAGGGTACGGAGGCGAAATACATCACTTCGAAATTGCCGGATTTTTTGCAAAAAACAGTGGTCTTCGAGCCAGCTTAATGTCTAAAAACCTTAAACAATTTTTGTACTTCAATATAAATCAAGTTTGAACGACATTTGTACATGTCTAAGCTTCTTTTTAGAAGGATGAAAAGCGAACTTTGTTTTGGCACGTGAAAACATGCCTTATAACTTGAATACAAAACTGACACCCCTCGTTTTTTTTCATTAAAAGGATGTAAAACACACTTGTCTATCCTTATAATATTGTTTGAATCTTTGAAAATGAAGCTGTCAGGGTAAAAAACGCTGTTTTTCGGTAATTTTTGTGTTTCCGAGCAAAATTAGCTCGCCTTAGTCCTTTTTGAAAGTTCAGAGCGTAAACAAAAAGAAGAACACTTTGCAAAATATTTCAAAAAGTTAGCAAAAAATATTTTGAGTTCGTTTTTAAAAAACTGTTATGCCATATTATTGTGTTATTATTAATTGCACCATTAAAGAGTCAAAAGGGTCAATACCCACTTAAAAAAAAAGACAAAAACACAATTGACACTCTATATTCATAACTTTTGAAACACTTAAGTAAAAATTGTACTGTAATACAAGTATGAAAAAGATTATTAGTCTAATATTATAGAATCATCATATATTTTCACAAATATGACCAAACATTTTAAACACAAATCCTAAAATTTAATATATTACATATACATTCATCATCTTCTGTATTACAAGAAAAAACTAATTTTACAATCAATATGATATACTATAAAATTCGTGATACATTATATAGCTTTGCTTGCTTTATAATCATTTTAAAACCCTGTTTCAAACCACTAAGGATGAGGGTTGCATTTATGTAGAGCAGGTTATATTAGCAATACTTTTCATGTTGTACACTTGGCTATTTATTTATAAGCATGAACTTGCTGATAAAATGCTCGAAATACCTGGAAAAATAACTCGGCCGCCATATTGGATGCCGAATATGATCATCGTGATCACTGCGATTGATAAAAAAGTGACCATTGCTGTTATGCATTGAACTTTTCGCTTGTTTTCACATAATCAACGTTTTCTCCAGCGTTTATAAGTATTTCAAAATTGTACATACCGCTTTTTAAATGTCTTGTTTTGATTTTTTTTAGTTTCTTCTTGACAAATTTATCAACATGTTAAAGCTATTTCCATATACATTTTTTGTGCAATGCCGAGTAATACGGCCGAAAAATATCTAAAAATGTCTTAAGGAGTTTGCTCTACTGATTCCTCAAGAAAAATTCTCAGCAAATTTATTTTTGAAATCCAAGCTTTCATTGACTGATATCACTGTCACGCAAATGGCACAGTACACGCGGGACACACACGAAATGCCAACTTGTTATTTGTCAAAAACAGTTTCATGCAATCATTGGATATCGTTGCAAGTACTTCATATTTCACTGCATTTCACTGAAATTATATTGGAAAGCTACCTTTTTCAAATAGAACTTTAAAGTGGTTATGAAGTGAAATTTTTATTGTCTGCAAGCAATTTGATATGTTTTTGTCCATTATACGTTGAATGGAAGTTGACAAATTTCAATTTTGGTCTCATAGAGCTCAACAGTGATCGTCAAAGATGCAAGTCTTTGAAGATTTAAATTTAACTATTTATATGAATTTTTGCTGTATTTATTACATAGCAGTTTGATATATCTTATGTCTTACTACAAAATATTTGGATCATGAAATATGAAAATCTTGTTATTTTTCCTTATTCATCCTATTAGAAGAATTTGTGGTAAATGGTAGATAAAATATGCAATTATAACGTCATGTCCATAAAATTGAATTTGGTTCGCAGTAGTTATTAAAAAAACGCCAAAAGCTTGATTAAGTTCCCGATAACGAAAATATCGCCATTATACTGTACAAGGTGGAATTGTTTCATTCTTTTGCTCATTTAGCCAATTTAAATAGTTTCATTATTAGTATCACTTGCGAAAAGGACAAAATAGGCGGTACGGCGCTCGCCCCATACCCGTTGACCTAACTCTCACAAATAGAGCGTTCTGGGTAAAGTGGATTTGAAATTACAGCACATGAAATTGAACACTCTACAGTTCATTTTTGGTGAGTTTGTTGTTAAGATATACTCTCATATTCTTCCTTTAATTAGTAAATAATTAAGTCAAGTATAACTAAATGATTATTTCAAGAGATACTTATGTGCAATAATCACAATATTTTTTATAGTTCCTAATAGCTTTCCGTAGATTGTAAATTAACCATTTTTAGTAAAGAAACAAATATATCCATACGTAATATTTTGTATAAATAGAAGTATTATAACCATTGTAAGGTAAATCGTAGACCATAGACATTGACGTTGAACATTATATGTGATCGTAACAGTTATCTGTGATATCTCTATTTGTTGGTAAGTCAATATATATTAAAGAAGGTAGATGGCTACATCACAAAACCTAACATTTGTATCTTAGTTTTTGAAAGTTACAGAGGCTTGAGGCCCATCTGCCCCGTGCCTTCTACGCCCATGGCTATAACTATGTTCACTAAAGCTAACTGCGGTGACCTTCTAGTTATGTTACTTATTTCATTGCCTGGACATTGCTACAAAATGTAGCTAATGAACTGAATCAACTACAATTCTACTTCACCACCTTTCCACTCATCCAACCAATCCGTTTCGCTTCCGTATTCCGGATCCGCTTTCGCGTTTTGTCCTAACCCCGTCGCACATTGCTGTTTATATGCATGATGATTGTAATCGGAGACTTGCCGCTCCACATTGTTGCACACTTTACTTTAATTTGATAAGCTTTATACTTACACTTTTTTTAACAAGGCATTTTAAATTGTAATTTCCATACATCTCTATCCGGCCGTGTGAACTACAGCCTTCCCCGCACGCAACCTCACACCACTCGTTCACATGTTCTGTTACATTTTGCATGGCATTAAAACCATGATAATAGTTAATAACAACATCATCAAGTCTCCTTGAGGCCAAAAAGCCCGAGAGCACTGTATTGTTGAAACTCAAGCTTGCAGCAGTGAGCAAAGGCAAAATATTGATGGAAATAGACGGTTATGTTCTTCTACTTATTGTATTACAGTATAATAAAACTATTTTTGCCGATTGGGAGATGCCGAAATACCAATGGTTTGTATCGGTCAAATTTCGCATCAGCAGCCAAGCAAAAGTGTTTGCATGACTGTTTTAATAACCAACCTTGCATTACTTTCATTTCTTGATGTGCATCTTTGACCTGATTGTTATTCACCATTCTTGTTTTCCGACTCAGCACAATGCAAAAACGGCAATTTTGCGAAATTTAGAAATTTAAACTTGCAGAGAGAGGTGTATCACATAAAAAATTTTTTATTGGAAATTCGATACTCTCTGCGCAGATTGTGATGATAATGAATTGAATATTTCATAAATAGCAAGTTGGAACGAGGAATTTTATGAAGTGCATGTTGGAACGAGGAATTTCAGGGAATATTTTTTACAACGTTTAATAAAAAGCACTTTGTGTAATCAACGCAACCCTTGCATTACGCAGACAGCAGATTTCATTTTTGCTTTTCGAAATACCTTCTAGTGTATGACTCACCTTCAATATAGTCAAGATCGATGACAGACGAATAGCAAAAATATTATGCCAGTAGAACCGGTTATGGTGCTTCAATTTCTTTTTAGCTTGTTCTCACGCTATGAAATAAGAAGGCACTTGCTTGCTTGGCAGCCAAATGCGCACAGGACAGGAAGACAGATTGATGAGTCTGTTTTAACAATTAAATGAAAATTACACGAGCCGGAAACATTAGACTCCTAGTTGTTATATTACATTAAGCGACTCAAGGTGAAGGTCTTTGGCATTTGTAAATAATATATGTAACTATTTGGTTTTGGCAGGCGGGATATAAGAATAAATTCATTTTCCCAATCATAAAACTTTTTCAAAAGGCAATGGATGGTTTATTTTCTAATCCGAGTAAAGATTTGTCTTCAAACATCAAAGAAAATGGTGATTTACATTGCTACAGAGAATGTTTGACTACTTATAAATACCTATTACAAATTATTTATTGGGTGTTCAATTACAATATGTGATGTGGTGGAAATATTGGTGTGTTGAGTGATGATTAAAGTTGGCATACAATAAAGTTGGATGAGGGTTTTTAATGGTATAGAACTGGGGCAACTGTCCTGGATGCTAAGGCTTTTAGAAGATGAAAGAATTTTGAAGTCGTTAATACCTGGAAAGAGATATATTGTTTTGAAATGGGCGAACACACTTGGATTCATTGAGATGAATGATGGTTACCTGTTAATGGAGGGATTCCCCCGTGTTTTGATAGTCTGGTGTGTAAATGCACAAATGTGTAAATGCACAAATGTTTAAATATGTAAAAGAATATTGTATAAATGAGACACGTGGTTCGATCAACGTATGACGCAGTCACACAGAAAACAGTCGACACAAGAAAAAAAGGATGAAATGCTTGTAAATGAGCGAAAGACATATCGAATATTAAAGTGCGATAGGTGGCTTTGCATTGCATAGTCGAGTTATTTAGCTGACAGATAATTTTTTAGTACAGTGTGAACGGATGACAGACATACGTTCAAAATGATTATTGAGATTGCGTCAAACATGTCTATCAATAAGGTGGGAAGCCTGGGAGGGGAAGCTATTAAGTCAAACAATTTTCTAACAATTCACGTTGAAGATTTAAAGTTTTCGTAGGTTGATCGCGTCAATTAGAGATTGAAAGTTCAATGAACGACTAACTTTGTATGCTCGTAGTATGAAGCTATGGAAGTTAGTAAAGAGACAGGGGAACCGTAGGTTTTGCAGTAAACGGAAGTAGAAAATGCGACATTAGAATTAGAGCGTGTTACATCATCGCTTCAATGTCAAGAAGGAATTTATTCCAAATTAATATTTGCCGAGTATCTAATCTTTATGTAAAAATGCTTTAAAAAAGTGTTACATGTCATCTTCAGTAGAAAAATGTTTGCTTTTTAAAAATTACAAATTACAAATGATGACATGGAACACTTGTCGAAACGTTTAGATTAAATAATGTTTACTATATACGGAGTGTCTATTGTGTGGTGTTTAACCAAAATGTAAAATACTATATTATAAAGCGAATTCCAAAAAAGCAAGACATCTTGAGATTGCAAAATATGCATCAAAACAAGACGAGAAGTGAACTGTAAATTTTCGACTTTATTTCAAAGTCATCTTCAGACAGAATGATATTTAAAACCATACATACACATATATATTTACAACGCATGAAAAAAAAATTTCATTTTAAACCATATTTCTTTAAATTGTCGGCTGGTCATGGTTTTTATGTAAAATACTCTTCAACAGAATAGCAGTCGTAATTAATTTGTGCGCTGCGCCTTCGATATCATCCGCTGACTTAATTGGTTGTTATGGTAACGTGGCACACAACCTTATTTTCATTTCTGAGCGATTCTGGAAAAATGGTCGAAGAAAAAAGGGATTTGTTTATTTTGGATGATTTGGACTCTGCAAGAAAGTTCTGGCAGAGAAAGGAGGACTCATTCAAGACCTCACTGTGAGCCTTAGAAAGTTTACAGCGTATTTTTGATAAAAATCATCGAACAAGATCCATCTGTTAAAGTTAACCAAATATTATAATTTGTGTTCTACCATTACGATTCCATTTGTAGACACGATTGTCTAAATGAAACCGTTTCGAGCTTCTTGGACAGACGGCCGGAAAATGCGATTGGTTTGTTTGTGCAAATTTATTTTCTTTACAAATGATTTGGAAAAAGTTTTGTTTTTGTTTACCATTTCATACGAGTAAGTTTGCATTGTTCCCATTGATGAGATCGAACATCATGTTTCAGGTGTCTTCGAAGATTTCTTCTCCGAAATAAGATCACCTCCCAAGACAAAACACGAAGTTCAGGATCAAGTATTGACTTTCATCCATTTCATTTTTATAATGATATAATCGTAGAAATGTTCGAAAAATTGTACCTGGTATTAAATATACTGAAATGGTAACAATACTGTCTTTCCTTAATAGGAAAACACGAAAGAAACAGAACTCAAACTACTAACAGCATCCATCCTAACACAAAAGCTTTTTGAGGTAAATCTCTTGCAGGCTTTATACAGAACTGCATTCAATTCTCTTTGGGTATAATCTCATGGCATCAAACCCCAGTACAAAATATGGAACATACAGAAGGGTAGCTCTTTTCGGAACCTTTGATATTTTTAACTAGTGCATGTTGTGCCAAGAATATTGGTCGCCATTATCCAGCAAGTTGATTACGGTTTTTCACTTGTTTCCAACTGCTGAAATGACTCAAGTCAAAATACTCTAGACTTTATTACTTGGAAATGATATCTGGCACAAGTTGCAAGAAAAAGTTGTAGCCCTTAATAATTAAATGTATTTTCAAGGGAATTTCAAATGTGTTAGTTGGGAGAAATTATTATGCACATTTAATATAAACGAAAAGTTTTTTGAAAATAGACATGTTTCAACATCTCATGATGCCATCTAAACATGTCTATTTTCAAAAAACTTTTCGTTTATATTAAATGTGCATTGGCAATAGTGCTTTTACGAAATTATAGAAATTATTATATTTACCAAAAGAATCCACCATGATCGTATCTTCAAGTGATCCAAATCACTATACAGACCCAAAGTACCACAATGATTCTATCTTGAAGGGATTCTAATTACTATATAGACCATAAATATCCACAATAATCCTATGTAAAAGATCATAATCACTCTATAGACCATAAGTATCCTCAATCATCCTATCTTGAAGTAATCCAAATCACTATACAGACCCAAAGTATCCACAATGATCCTGTCTTGAAGGGATCGTAATCACTGTACAAACCATAAGTATCCACAATAATCCTATGTTAAAGGATCATAATCACTCTATAGACCATAAGTATCCTGCAATGATTCTGTCTTGAAGTTATCTAAATTCCCAATTCTCAACTGTCTACTGTCTATTTAAAATCCTTCAGAAAGATGCAGATAAAGAGGGAGAATTGGAAACTGATGAAGAAGTTGAGACACCATTACCGAATCTTATAAATCTCAATTTCTACTTTGAGCAAGCGGGCATTGGACTTCCTCATGAAGAAATGTTCAATGTGTGGCTTTCGTTGAAAACTCTTGTTGATTCTAAACCTCTTCAGACCGTTAGATTTTGGGGTGAGTCTGATTTCCAAAGCGTTAGAACTTTTGTACACTTGTCATTCTGGTTGATGAAAAAAAGTTCGTATCAAAGATGGGTTTTCTTGAAACCTAGGTGGGAAAGTTTAAAGTGAAGAAATGAGTTCTTTCACCATTTCATAGGTAAAATATTCGGTTTGGAGCACAATTACTACATTGCTGAAGTCGAATATCGCGATGGAGGTCTTGAGGAGGAGGAGGAGCTAGAGGTGATTGTTGAGGATAGCTGTGCTGGTTTACAGTAGGATAGGAGGGGAGGGGGGCTATATTTGACGTATAAATTGACGGAGTTTCTGATGTGTTTTTAAAAAAGCGAGAAGAACGGGAAGAAGAGGAAGAAGATAGTAAAGATAAAGATGACGAAAATGAAAATGGTAAGTTATTGTAAAATACATTATTAAAAATGGTTTAACTATGCACCAGGCTATAGTCAAGGTATAGGGAATTATATGCAGTAGGTCCTCTTTCTGTGCAACTGGCTGCTGTATATTGAATTACACTACTGGCTGGCGTTAGCCATTTCATGATTCCTGTTGGTCAGAAATTGCAATTGACTGGCTGCCACTATGGTAATTACATGCGTAATAAGATATGCGTTGTATGAAAAATTCATGAGAGTGACTATACTCCATACTCTGCTGTAGGGTAGACATCTTCCAAGTTTGTTAATGATGTGTAAATATTTTCAAGTTCACTCACTGTCAAAAACAATAAATTTTTAAAAAAAATGAATAACGACAATGATCTGAAATTTACCTTGCAAGACCCAGTTTCCTGTTTGACCACACCACTTGTACAACGTCTCTATGCGTTTATAAAAAGTGCGTGTTTTTTTTTCACAGACGATGACAGAGACGAAGAAGAGGACGATCTTCCGAAATCAACATGGGTTGCACCCCCCGTCATCCCCAAAGAAGATTACAAATCGGGTGCAAACAAACATGTCTACTTCGTCACGAACACTTGTGAGTTGTTTTATCAATATGAAAAGATTAAAACGATTCAATATTTGATCGATCGCACCTCGCTACTCTAATAACCGCAGCAGTACATTGCATTTCAATTTAAATAAGACCGCGGCGCTTAAACGATTGCTTGCAAGATTGGCTCATGTTATCTCACCCAGTCTCCAGGTCGATGTTGAATCATCAGAAAGACTGCGGAACGTTTCCCCAAGCTCATAAGTCGTTAATGAAGTGTTTCAGATTTTAGAGCCTCCCCCCCTTGATTTTTCTTCACGTGTAAAGTCCTTGTCGAGGCTTTGTTCTTATCTACTACGCCTTAGTGTTTTACACACGTGGACTGGGACTTAGTGGTGTGTACGTGTGGACTGGGCCTAGTTTGTTATAAACTCTTTCATCTTTTTGCAGTCTGTGGATCATGGATAAAATTACCTCACGTTTCGCCTGCTGAAATTAATGCCGCGCGGCAAATAAAGAAATTTTTTACAGGGAGAATTGACGCACCGGTAAAGAAATTAGTAAATTTGCTCACTTGGTGTCTTTCGAAAGATTCCAACTTTCCACTTCCGTTTCTCTCACATAAGGTCGTGAGCTATCCTCCGTTTCCTGGTAACGAGGCGAACTACCTTCGTGCTCAGATCGCTCGGATTACCGCTGGCACGCACATAAGTCCCGCTGGCTACTACGCTTTCGAGGATGAGGAAGAAGAAGAAGAGGAGGAGGGTTGGTGTCTAGTTTTCCGTTTCATCGTGCGCGTAACGTCATGTAAAGTTTTTTTTGTCGACAGTGCGTGAAACTTACGTGGTTAATCCCGAGTTCGAAGGTGTGAATCCCCGCGAGTTATTAGATACCACTGCAAACACTTGGGTACATCATTGTTTGAATATCCTACCTCAGGTATCCCTTGAAGTACTAAATGATCACTTGTAAACTTTTAACTGTCTTTATCAAGTGGTTCGTTAACACTTTAAAACTGTCTCAAACCCCTGAGGACAAATCTTCTTATTTTCTTAAGGGTCGCTGTATTTGGCATAATCCTGTCACGAGAAATGAAGATGACTTTGAAGAAGAAGAACCAGACGACGAAGAAGAAGGGGATGAGGAAATTATGCCAGAAACTGGACCGCCATTGTTGTCATCCATCAGTGAAGATGATGGTTTGTCTTCTGAACTTAAGAAAATTGCCTGAAATATTTGTCAATACTACAAATCTTCTTCCATGTTCATTACTCCTTTGTACACAAATCACCCTAAGTATCACTTGTTGCTCCTTGTATACCTCAAAATCATTTTACAACTACAATATTCAGTTATGAACACAATTCACCTCGAATATCACTTCTTGTTCCTTATCTTCCTCCAAGTCATTTTACAATCACAACTTCCTGTATGTAAGTTATCCCCTAGTATCCCTTCTTGTTCGTCGTCGTCCTCGAGGGATCTTACTTCATAAGCATAATACAAGCGTTTTATATACTGTTTTTCAGGGATAGACAACAAGCCTGCATGGTCGTCGTATCTTTCCTCAAACTTTCTTCCTCAATACGCCATCGCTGTTATGAGATCCAATCGATGGCCAGGAGCGTACGCCTTCGCTCAAGAAATGTAAGATTACCCGATTGCCTTTGCGGTTTCCCGCCTTTTCTTACTCTGAGCCAGTTTTGGCGATGATATTGTTTTAAAACAAGATTAATTCATCGTTACGGTTTGAAAAAGCCTCTCAAATTTAGTTTGTGTGTAGTTTTTGTAGCAAAAACTTATGAAACTATGGTCTAATGTAGCGAAGAAAAGCTTATCCAGAAATTCTTTTGCGCGGGCACGCTTTTTTAACCGTATAAAATTTTCTTGAAAAAACGTCTTTTTTCAACCGAACGTTTTACCAAACCAAGAATATTTTTTGCAATTGTCTACATGAATATCTCCAGTATAAATAAGGCCAAAATTAATACAGATTTATTTCTTAAACAGGAAATTTGAAAACATTTACATCGGTTGGGGTCAGAAATACATGCCCAAAGGTTACACTCCCCCCGTTCTGCCACCTGTCCTTGATGAATACCCCACGGGAGCTGACGTCATTGAAATTGCCGACCCCACCGTTGAAGAGGAAAAGGAAGCGAAAAGCAAGACAGAGGAGGATTTAGAGCCTGGAGACGAGGACGAAGATATTGATGATGAAGACGATGATGATTAATGTCGACGTTGAGCTTTTTGTTTGAACTGGATGGGTGTATAGAATTTGTATATAATAGTTCATGAAATGCCAGATTGTGATGTAATCTGTGTGAATAAATTTGTATATTTCCACATCAATGTTGTAAGTGATCTTTATAAAAATATTTTAATTTTTTTTTAATTCCTTATATGTATTGTTGGAAACGCTTAGTCCAAATATGGCAAGCAATTTCGCAATGTTATATTTGATTTTGAAGTTTAAAGTTTGATTTCTCGATATGCTTCCACTGGTGATTGTGCAAAAACTTTCAATATGTCAAACATTAGATAGCTGCTTATTTTTCAATTTACGTAGCGAAAAAATTTTCAAACGTGTTCAGTAGAACCATTCTGAAAAAGCTTTGTTTAAAAAGGTGGCCTCCCCGGCGGGGAATCGAACCCCGGTCTCCCGCGTGACAGGCGGGGATACTCACCACTATACTACCGAGGAACACATATGCAATGTTAATTATTAAATTAATAAAAATATTAATTTTGAATTTTTCAAAATGTATACTATGATCTTAGATTGGAAAAATTTTTCAATTTTTTTTAAAGAGTTCATTCATATTTTATTCATATAACATGTTCTACTAGATCAACCGACAATCAATTTTTGTGTTGGTTGTCAAACAAAATTTCTTCAACATTTCTAATTCTACCACTACGATCTCCGACAATTTTAATTTACGCGGGCTGTGCGGGTATGTCCTCATGTTTTCTGACGTCATTCAATATTCGAGAAATTATGACGTAATTTATCAGGTGATCAAAACATTTTACACTTTGTCGTTGATTTTGTTGCTTTCGATATTCTGGCAAGCCCGAAGCTCTTTTCTTAAAGAAACAGACTTTTCAACGAGTACAAATCTTTTTATTTGACGCCGAGTGTTCCACAGAAGCTATGAAGTGGGCCTTCAAGGAAGAGCATACGATCGGTATTATATATTTTCAGGTTTTAGGATGGAAGCTGAATGGACGTATACAATGTTATTTTGTATTTGCAGATGTCAGGCGTGCAGAATCCGCCAAAATTCGCACAAAGTATCCGGATCGAATCCCCGTTAGTATTCACACACGCTTCCTTCGTTGTATTTTGTTATTGACGACAGTATTGGCTCTGCTTTTTCGTAGGTAGTTGTTGAAAAGGCACCAAAATCGACCATCCCCGATATTGACAAGCGAAAGTTTCTCGTTCCAAATGACTTAACAGGTTCAATGTTCTCCTTAAATTATCAACGAAGCGACACCTTTGTTGCTAAGATAATATAGCCTATTTAAGTTCTCTTAGTCTTCATGTCTAAACTATTCCTTTCACTATTTACAGTTGCTCAATTTATGTATATTATACGTAAAAGAATTCAACTTGCTCCTGAGAAAGCGATGTTTTTATTCGTCAACAAAGTTCTTCCCACCACAAGGTAAACTTCGGAAACGTCGCTCTCCTGCATCTTTGAATAAACTTGTTATCCGTTTATTGTAAATTGTGGGGAATTGTCTTTTAATGTTAGAAAACCTGTGTCTTGTTCTTAAAAGTCTTCCATATATGGCGTATGTAATGGGGAATTTTTCCATGAGTTTACATGATTTCGTTTTGATTTGAATTTTGAACGAAACCTTTCGTTTTGAAGTCCGAGTACACAAAACAAAATATACTCAAGGGCGTTGAAGCTTTGAGAGGCTTGAGTTCATAGTGGATATAACAGTGACATAAGGCAGAACAATAGTGCATTTTTGGAATATTTACTGCATACGAACCATTTACAATGTTGTTGTAAACATTTTGAAGTTCATCATAACCCATATTTTTTTACATTCAATGTTATGCCTTCTGTTGGCAATCTATTATCAAAATATTGTTCGGTTGTCTGTCATGCATTCCAAAGTACATACCTAGCATGAAGGCAGTTTTCCAAAGGCCTGCAAAGACTTGATGACATTTTTTCAATTACATAGCTTCTTGACATAACTGTTTTCACTATGGCTTCTGCAATAGAGTCACTATGCTTTTTAAGATATTTTGAAAAAGTAATTTATTTCATTCCCTATTTTCATTAAATTTAAAGAAAAGAAATAGCATTATCTTAAATTGTATCTTGCCATTGACCATTTATCGTTAACAGTGACAAATACAGCCTGTTCATTTAGTTATATTCAGAATTTTTTTTTGCTCGCCCACTGTGAAAACTATGAATTTCTAAAGAAATACAGAACAAATATGTTCTGTAATGTACTTGGCTTAAGTACAACATGTGTGCTGTTGTAGCATTTGTTGTTTTGTGTTTAAGTTTGTTCGATGCTGTCAATCATTAGTGTTTTATGATTCTAGCTCCACAATGGGGGCCATCTATGAAGAACACAAAGACGAAGATGGATTCCTGTACATAGCTTACAGTGGCGAGAACACCTTTGGGCAATAAGCACGCACAAACAATTTTCAAACTTTCTCAAGTATGACTATTTTGGTATGATTATAACTGATTGTCGTAGGTTTTAACACACAGGTAAAATAAAAATGGCACCAAGAACATGTACATATCATATAAAGCAATATATCTTGGTCAAATTCACAATGTTCCTTTTCTTTAGGTGTATTTCATATTAATTTTCAATGAAACCTGTATTTGTAGTTCTGTCAAGTTGAATAAACGGTGTTATTTTAAAAAAGAAAATAAATCATACAAATGTAGGATTATGGCTACAAATGTATTCACTTTCCTTTCAAATGGAAAAAGCGATTATTTTGCCGAAGAGAAATACTTTGATTTTTTGCGATTTTTTTATGGGTAAAAGAATAGAGTGGGTGGATGGATTGTCAAGGTTGTAGAGAAGGGGAGGGAATGCATTTCATTCTCAGCACCTCTAGCAGTAAATCTCTTATACAGTTTGGTTAAAAATTGAAATATTCGCTGGAAAATTTACTTGTCACGTTAATTATCGAGGCAGACGGTAATTCTTTCCAACTTCTTAGAGCGAATACATTTACACAGATTGAAACTTAATTTGGCCATTTAAGAAATTTTATTGAGTAACTTGTCGTCTTTAAAACATCATTTATCTGAGTGATTTTTAGCATTTGAAGTTTGAATACATGAAATTACAAGTTATTTATAGTTTATGACTTTACAAAACTCTCATAGATCGTCATTACCATCACAATGGCTATGGTAATGAATAATGCTAATGTTCAAAGTTTTGATCAACTTCCAAAAGTCAATATTTACTTTCATCGTGCGATATTCGCTGAAATTTTTAGTTTAAAAAACTCTGCAACAATTCGTACACCACACATAGGTGACATTACTGACGAAACCCTTCATCTTGTCCCTGACTCAGGAAGAAGCACTTGAGGAGAGAAAGAAGTTATGTAAATTTTATGATAAACATGTAAATATTTAGCGAAATAATTGTGTTAACGATGGATTTTTTTACTTGCAACTTGATGTTTGTTTAAGACTAAGCCGACTGCTGGCAAAATGGCCGGACGAGGTCGGCCTAAGAAAGTGTTTACGTCTTGTGAGGTTTCTCGGCACAATTCACCAGGAGATTTATGGATTGTCATCGACAACAAAGTGGATGATATTTCAGAATTTGTTTATGAGGTAGGCGCGCCTTGACACAGTGTTGTTTTTAAAAAAATAAGCGATGCATCGGTTTTTTATGATTACACTTGAGAAGATAAGTGATAAGTGATAACATCAATACATACGCTATATATCCCCGGCTCAAACACAAAAAAAACATAACGTTTTACGTTAAAAAAGTACGTGCCTTCTTTAGCCAGGGTCACCTGGTATCAAGAACAGACTGCGATGGTATTAAGAAGTGATACATAATCCACAACAGATTGGATTCTAGGTTATTGCATGGGCTTTACTTAACAAATAAAAACCAAACACTTTTGTTCTCTAATATAAAACAAATTCCGAAGAAGCAAGACATCTTGAGATTGCAAAATATGAATCAAAACAAGACGAGAAGTAAACTGTACATTTTCGACTTTATTTCAAAGTCATCCTCATCATTCTGTCTGAGGATTACTTTGAAATAAAGTCGAAAATTTACAGTTTACTTCTCGTCTTGTTTTGATTCATATTTTGCAATCTCAAGATGTCTTGCTTCTTCAAAATTTGTTTTATACTATACTTCTTTAAATTGTCGGCTGGTCATGGTTTTTGTTCTCTTAGACAAGTCAATTTTTTTACGCGTCCAGACAATTTTAAATTATGTGAACCGGACGTTAACGATATCGACAAATGCTTTTCTGTAGTGTGACGTGTAATGAACTCTGCCATTTTCTTCAATTGTCGCATTGAGTATTGTGTATTTAAAGTTAGTCTGTAACAAACATTTTATTATTTATAATGTGTCTGACCATTTAAAATATGTGACAAATTTCTTTAAAACAAACAAGTTTCGGCATACTTTATGCCGTCTTCAGGTGCGAGGGGAGTCAATAGGGAGCTTTAGCTAGAGTACGACTACGACAGCGAATACGAAGTTTGAGCGTGTAAGGGAATAGCATGAGGAAGTTTGTTGAGATAAAATGTTTGTGTTAGACGAAAACTGACAAAAACTCACACATATTCAGACACTTACTCTCGTCACCACACTGCAAAAGCAATTACACAATCCTGTTTCCATATCTTAGACACCGCTCACACTCCTTTCGCCACTCAAAAAAGCCATTTATATAAAAAACGTAAACCTAACCTCAACAAACAAATACAACATCTTAACAGTATCTTTGACCTGTAAATAGCATTTAATACCTTATCAGATATTATTCATTGTAGTTTTTTTCCTTCTTTTACAAAACCTAACACAAACATTTTATAACACCTTATTCAACTGTAAATAATTATTCATAACTTCCATACTTCCACTTTATCACTATGACATATTATCATGTAAACTTCCTATATTTATTCACTTCGCACTGAAGATGGCATAAAGTATGCCGAAACACGTTTGTTTTAAAGAAATTTGTATCTGACCTTTGCAGCATCCTGGTGGTGATTTAGTGCTATACAATAAAGGAGGTTAGTCTTACGAATCAATTTTTGCAATTCTCGCAATAGTGTCACTAATGTCTGTTTATTTATTTAATTGTGTGAAGAAACATTGCCACTTGTATGTCTTAACACCGAAATTCCCGCCTGTTTCCAAAATTGTAAGATCTCTTTTTATTTGGTTGGTTTTTTTACAGGAGAGGATGCAACTGAAGACTTCCACCGCATTGGACATTCAGAGAGTGCCATGCAACTGATGAGCGACTACTGTATTTGCAAATTTTCCAATAATACCAGTTCTTAGAAATTGACAGCATTTTCTGATCTTGTTCCTTTCCAATAATTTGGTTCCATTGCACTATTAGTCGCTTGGTTAAACGAGAGTGAACAGATTTTAAGCAGAAATTTCCCCGTTGTAAAGCTGATTGAAACTTGTCAGGGAATGTCAGACAATGCGGAGATGTCCTGTTCTGAAAATCTTTACTTAATTGAAATTGAATTTTATAAACGGTGTGTTTAAATTAAGTTAAAGTTATGCTCTTTACCATAGAACTATTTATTTAAGAATATACAAAAGTTATTCAGCCAATGGGGTAAGGTCTTCTATAATTATTGACCAATCAGAGTGTACAGTATAAATTGACAGTGACGAGCACCCTTGGACCCGGTGTGTGGAGGTGCCAGGATTTGCCGTAAATTTGATACATACTTCTTACAGGGAACACGGTTTACGTTAAATTTGCGTTATTTTCATCATATTTTTACCAAAATGTCTAAAGAGAAAAAGGAATATTCCTTAGCTGAGGTCCAAAAGCATAATACCGCGGAATCTTTATGGCTCGTCATTCATAATTTAGTGTATGATGTGACTAAATTTATGGACGAGGTTTGTTATTCGCTCGTATCCTTCTATCCAATGTATTATCTACTACTTTAGAAGGTTTTAATGGGTGCTTTAAAGAGCATAAGATGGCCGGCTATGTATTGCAACTGGTTGAATAATGTGTTATTTATTGAGCGAATACAGTGATCTTTGAAGTCGTCGATATTTTCAAGATTTTGACATCGGAAAACTTAGTATATTGATGTCTTTCATACATTCAAAGTTATATCTTGGGAGGCAGATAAACAGAGCTCACTCAAAATGACTACGCTTAGCTTTTTATCTCAATTTTGTGGCATAACCAATTTCATTTAGTCCCTGATTGGTGCAAGTATTAACCTGGGTTGGACTGTTTTCCCTGTTTTATTTGTGTAAATTCAGGTGGTATTGTTAAAACATCGCATTGAAATCATTTAAAATGTCCAACACTAAAATTATTACATTATCAGCATGTCAACATGGGCTCTGGGCTCCCTGTGCAAAGATGAATGTCACATGTAATTCACATGCACCATTTTTATGAATCTTCACATCAAATGCTTGCAAAATAAAGAAGACTATCTAATTTAGGAAAGTAATGGGGAAGAAACAAGAAAAATATTTCTCTGCGTGATGCAGAATCAACTGGTCTCCTCAAGTGACTAAACTGTTTAGGTGACACACCTAACCAGGTGACAAGCTGTGCCACTTGCTCTGATTGTAAAACAGATATTTACTGTCACCTGGCAGTAGCATAGCCAGCTTTTAAGTTTGGTTAATTTAAATAAGTTTTAGATCATTGGCATTGTTTCATTAGAAATCTATTGCTTTTACAAGTTAGTGAACACCAAATTATTTACATAGCACAAACAGACTTTTGGCCTAGCTACATTCATCATTGGTCACTTTTTGTAAGGAGGCAGTTAAATGTGTGCCAACTTTTGTAGCTCTTCAGAAGGCAGTGTCATTTGGTATAATATTTCATGATGTAAAGATGAAGTAGTAAAACGTACTAGCAATAGGCTGTGCCCCCCCCCGTGTCTTAAAACACAACATCTTTAATTACATATCCCAACTTAAGTGATTCTTTTTTTTAACGATCAGCATCCAGGCGGTGAGGAAGTTTTGTTAGAGGAAGCAGGTAAAATATATATTTCTTAATGAACATTTTGTGATTTGCACGTTTGATAAAATTTTGTTTTGCTTACAAAGGAACACATGCAACAGAACTCTTCGAAGATGTTGGCCACTCGGACGATGCAAGAGAGCTGATGAATGAGTATTGCATAGGAAAAATAGCTGAGGTAATTCTGATATAGCATTGTGCAATGGTGAAGCCGAACCCAGTTTTACTTGCAAAGAAAATTGATCAACAGTATTATTTCTCATTTCTTAAACACAAAAATATTTGCATTGTATGAGTAAAAATTAGGCTAGCTGGCAAAAAGTTTTATGTATGGTGGGGGCTGCAGTCAAGGTAGTTAGGCATTATTTGCTGGAAAATTGTGTAAATTAGGTGATTTAAGATTTAAAATGTGCCATCCTCCCATTGTATGCCCATGCTGGATATTATTGTGGTATTTTTTGTGTCAACACAATTTTTTAAGCTCTGTTTTTGAACCAGGTGTCTAAGTATTCATCCACAGGGTTTGTTTTGGCTAAATGCTAGAATATAGAAATTGTCATATCATTCTGTCTTACACATCACCATGACAACTGTAAGCTTTTACTAATCAGATGATGTTTATTTTTTAGGAGGATAGAGCGCCTGATTTTGTACTGGTACAAATCTACTTCTTCATTCATTACCCAAATCAGCAAAAGCTCAATTTAAAAACAAGCAGTAGTCTCACTCCACTCTACAACTTTGTGCTGTATATTTAAATTAGATTACTGGCTGCAACTAGCCACCAAAGTGCTCCTATTGATAAGGAAATACAATTGACTGGCTGCAACTATGCTAATCACATGCATAATAAGATATGTGCAACACAAAAAAATTCAATAGAGTGGGACTACTGTTTGTTTATACACTGTGGCAAAAGTAAAATTGATGCTTAAATTTATATGTAATATTGAAATATTAGACATTTGAAATCAGCTTGCATAGGGAGTGTGTCGGAGAATGGTGTGCTACTGACATATTTGTCTTTGTACATCATCCATGCTTGTGGGTCCTGAGAATGACTGTTGAACACACTAATTGTCCTTCTTAGGACTCCACTAACTTGCACAATCAATATCTAGAAACATGAATTGATACTTCAGTGTTCAAACCATTTACCTAATATGTGATATTTAAAAGAACATCCATATTGTAATATTGTTATTTTTTAGTTTTTAAGCAAATTAACTCATGTAAGCTTTCATAATCTCTCATTTCAAGGAGGAGCCAGAGAGAGAAACAAAAAGAGTGCTTTTGTGTAATGGACACTGGAAGTAATGGTTCTAAAATATCATTAAGTGAAGGATAATGTTATGAAGAGCACTAACCAATAGCAATAAATGCATCATTTTGTTTAATTTAGAACTATTGGCTTGTGCTCTTTACTTAAAACAGTTCTTTTAAAAATATTATATTACTTTTACCATTCACTGTGGTATTTTCTATCTTTAGAACTATTTTCAGATATCTCACCACGAAAAAGTCTCTATTTTAGTATGTTATTTTTGAGAGGGATTAGTCTTATTGACATTCAAGGTTCACCATCTGGGCAGTAGAAGGTGATAATGAGGAGTATACAGTATTAGCATTGGGTAGTAAACAGTTATAACTTGGGGATGCATGGCATTGGCATGGGATGTAGGCAGTATCTGTCTTAACATAGCGAGGGGGCTCATTGCATTACCATGGGAATTAGAAAGGATAATCATAGGGACCAATTGCCAAAGTAAACATGAAAAATGAATTGTTTATATTCATGTGATAAATTGTTTTTGATATTTTATAGTGCATTGTCTTGGTTGATACCTACAGCAATCAGCATTGGAATTGTTGTTGTGGCAGCATATAAATCTTCAACAAGTTAAGACTTTGAGGCGTAGGCAATGATTTTTAACCGTATCACATTGTAAATCAAAAATAAAGGGAAAAATAGTGAATCTTTATGCAAATTTAAGTATTTTTAATTTGTGTTGCAATGAAAAGGGTTGAATGTGTGTTCTGTTGGCATTCAGGGGGGGATAATTTTAAGTGCAATTGGGACCTGTGGGTAAGGCATAACTTCCCATGTCAAGAACTTCCATAGGTCTTTACTTCCCATGTCAAAAATTCTAGGATTTATGATTTCTCTGGTCCAAATATCCCATGGGTCTTACATTCCCAGAACAAACATCCCATGAGTTAACTCAGGTCAAAAAAACCCCGTGGGTCATAACTTCTCCGATGAAAATAATCCCTGGCGTGATAACCGCCTAGGTCAAACATCCTATAGGTCATTAATTCCCAGGTCAAAAATCCCATGGGTCTTTTCTCTGTTCAGTCACATGTTCGTTGATGAAAACGACCGTAAATGTGAAAGCTTTTGTTCATCATTTTTCGACTTGAAAATTAGTCTTAAGTTGAATAAGGATTCAAATTATGTGTGCACGATAAACTTAATGTCTGTTGACAATGAAAAGCTGACTTTAAGAATATTTCGTCTGATTACACAACGATTAACGATGACGTCTGTATATTTCAACAAACCATCCCGCCTTACATAGCGCTTTTGGCCTATGCACCATGGGCCGGAGAGCGATACTTCTTTTATATAATTTGTATTAAAGTGGCGATATACTCTTCTTAGTTTTGAATTTATTCCGGGTTTTAACGAATATGGCGATATTTTTTGTTAAAGGGAAGATATTGGCCAAACACGAAGTCGTCATCGTCGGGGGAGGGAGAGGGAGGAGGGTGTAAGGTAGGTGTGGTAGCTCCTCCCGTGAACACGTGTTTTGTTAGACATTTTCAAGAGGGCAAACCATTTTAAAACGCAATATTCAATAAAAGGTAGAATTTGCGTTTTAATTAGAAAGAAGTGTCTTATATCCGTCAAACTTCCTTTTTTAGTTATGTAACAACTTTTTAAACAGTTAAATATTTATGCTTTAATGCTGAACCGGCAATGTCTCCGTGGCAACGTTGATTTGATTGGTTGCTCTTTGGCCGTTGATGGGCTAGACGGAGGTGTGCGAAAATATTTGGCAAAGAACTGTCAAATTTTGTTTGAACGTAGATATTTCGAAACGTAACTGCTATAATTGTTAATTTCTGTTCATTTCTGTAAAACATTATCGATGGAACAAGGTGTGTATGGTTTTTGTTTGTAACGATAGATTGTTCGTCACTTTGTGTAGAATTGATGTACAACTCTTTTTGTTATCTAACTAAAAATTTATTCGTGAATTCGGCTCTTGTTTGTTGTCTTCATTTTGTTTTGCTGTCGTTTGTGTTAAGGAACTTTCTCTGTTGAAAACAGTCGACCACTTCAACCTTACTAAATTACTCATAGTTTCGGTAGGATTAAATAGTTTAGTGGAGATTCGCATGCCATTAATATTTTTAATATCCCCGAAGTCACCACAAACAACGTGGCAGAATTTTGTTTTTTGGGCTCAATATTATGCAAATCTTATCTCTATTTCTACCTTGGTTTTCGTTCAGTATTGAGAATAATCAGTTACGTTTCAAGTATTTTGCTGCCACAGAACAGCCTCTTACCAGTGATGAAGTCAGCCTGAACTTTTACAACTACAATGCAAATTTTATAGCAAAATTGGCGTTCATTTCTTTAGAAAACTGATTTCATTCATTTTTCTTCCTACAGTGAATGAAAACAGAAATGTTTGCACAGCAGAAGCCAAAAAACTGCCACTTTCAACTGATTTTTCGGGAAAACACACTTTTTCATGGGTTTGCCTATATTAGTTTTGTTGATGAATATTTAAACGTGAGCAATTAACTTGTATTTAAAATACATCCGGTGATTAAACTTTCAAAAAGCATAATTTAAACGTCTGACTGACCTCGTGGCACCACATACCACAATTGCACGCTTGTCTAGATTGAAACCACGAACGTTCAAAGCTTCATATGACGAGTCTCTTTTAGCTAATTCTTCACGGTGATAGAAAATCAGTTTAGTTAAAGAGGATTGTTCGGATTATCTCGCGTTTAAAGATCAGATTCCACAGCAGAAATGCTGCCAAACAACTCCACTCAAAAGGTATTTAAATTCAATGGCATTATGACATGGCAAGATCAACTTAGATTTTGTATGTCTGTAGCTACGTTTGTTTAAACCACCCTTTTGTGGCAATAATGTTAACTTCGTAAAAACTTTAATTGTGCAAAAATTGTGCTTCGCGACGACACGAATGATACACACCAACCGTTGGAGAGTCTGTCGGTTTTTACTCCTACGATGAAAATATTTTTGTGTTCATTCACTGAAAAAACAATGAATGGAAATTATGTAATTCATTTTTAAAGACATGAATAGCAATTTTGCTGGAAAATTTACGTTTATGGAGTAAATTTAAGGTTGGTTTCGACGCGTTGCTCTGTGATAGCAGACCACATTCGACCTCAAACCTCCCAGGCAGAGGAAAGATAAACCGTTTACAATCAATGCAAAGATTTCATGAACAATGAGTTTCAAAATCCTGTTCATGACGTACAAAGTAATGTTGGAGGGCAACACTTATATTCTTCCAACACAGAGTACTATGAAATGCAGAAAATCATCTCGTGTGATTTTTGTGTGAGCGCCATGTTTCTCGACGCTCCTATTTTGTAACTTCCGGAATTGGGTCCTACAAAGACTTTTCTTGTATTTTCATGCATATTTTCAGAGTGTCTGCAAATCACAGATATCACTAAAACGCTTTTGTCTGTGCTTCTGCTATGACTTTCAAAGTGTTGCATCACATAAAAACTTTCAAGTGTCTTGTCCGATATCGGCTTTGCTCTAAACGCCGTTAAAATCCAACATGTCCTGGAATAGCTAATTTACAGAGTAAAGATTTGTAAAATCGGTTGCACTAACTTCTGACTTTGTCCCCTTCACTGGAATCAATAAATTTATTCGTAAAATATATCAATGACGTCATGTTCTTTTTGGTGTATGTAGTGTGTAGAATGAGTAGGTGTGAACCAAGAGATTGGGACATCCCAGTGTCGTATACAGCACAGAACACGTTTAATCCTATAAGAAATGTTGTGGAGACAATGCACATAGAGGAAAATCCTCAATTGGAGGTGATTCGTCTCACTGTTGGTGAGTAGTTTTCAGATTTTATTTCGTAGTGTCAGCATTCGAAATAAGCGGTTTAAATCATAGCTAATGTTGAATTAGCGATTTCTGTCTTCGCTCAGTGGCAGACTTATCTCTAGTGTCATTAACCCTCGAGAACGCCGTCCAGGCGACTTCACAATTCTTTTGGATGATTGTATTTTCTCAACAAAAAAGAAACTTCGTTGGATTTCAAATAATGTTTCATTCTATTTATTGCCCTGTATAAATTGTTGCCGTTTTGAAATAATTACAAAACCCGTCAGGTCTCTTGGTGACGGTATCTATAATGGATAAAATTTTTTCCAAAGTTTCTAAACATAGGCGTACATGATGGGGAGGGGAGCAAGGGAGCAGGTGCCCTCTAAGAAAGTTTGGAGACTGAAAATTTGGACAACTTTTAACGTTAGTCGGGCTAAAATACGGTGGAACCTTCATTGTGAGTTTGGGAAAAATTTACTGCCCCCACAGAAGAGATAGCTCCTTACGCTTGTGTTTCTAAATCTC